AGCAGGTTCGTCAGTTGAGATCGAAGAGTTTTCCTTCTGTTCATGTTCAGTGGAGAGGTCAGCTTATTGAGGTATCGACCTGGGAATCCGAGTCCGATATGCGGAGCCGTTATCCCCATCTTTTCCCCGACTCAAGTACTTCCTTCTTCTGTCCGTTCGAGGACGAACAGTTGTTTTAGCGGTGGAGAATGTGGTCATCACTTGTTTTAAAAGTGAATTCTACGTTTTGAGGCCTTAAAAACCTCTTTTAGCATCACCTCAATTTGCGTGCGCAGTTCGGGCGCGTAGCTGGAAAGCTTATATGTGAAAATCTGTGAAAAATGATAAATTTTGACTATAAAATGAATTAAATCGACTTCGGTCAATGTTTTGGATAAACGGATCCGGACACGTGATTTGACGGTCCCGGAGGATCCGTAGGAAAATATGGGACTTGGGCGTATGCCCGGAATCGAATTCCGAGATCCCAAGCCCGAGGAATGAATTTTTGAAAAAAAATATTTTCTGAAAAATATAAAGGTTTTTTTTAAAGTGAAATGTTATGTGAAACCTGTGGTATCGGGCCGTATTATGGTTCCGGAGCCCGGTACAGGTTCAATGTGATTTATATGTGTTGTCGGTAAAGTTGGGTAAGAAACGGAATCCATTTGACGTGATTCAGACCTTAAATGCAAAATTTGATGCTTAAAGAAGTTTTGAGAAATTTCATTGATCTTGAGGTTTAATTCGATGTTCATGATGTTATTTTGGTGATTTGATTACACGAATAAGTCCGTAGGATGTTTTTGAGGTAGTGTGCATGTTTGGTTTGGAGCCCCGAGGGCTCGAGTGAGTTTTAGATAGGCCACAGAGTGCATTTTGGACTTAGAAAATTGCAGGTTTCATTGCTGGTATGATCAGGCCTGCAGGCTTCGGATTTGCGAAGCCTGGCTCGCAAATGCGAGGGCTTGGTCGCAAATGCGAACCAGCCCAGGCCTGCCTTATCTCGCAAATGCAAGATGTTCTTCGCAATTCCAACCTCGCAAATGCGAGGGTCCCTTTCGCAAATGCGAAGTTCCAAATTCCCTGAAGGGTTCGCAAATGCGAGCCCTGTTTCGCAATTCCCAAGCTAGCAGATATTGCGAACCCCTATTCGCATTTCCCACATCTGCAACCTGCAGCTTTTATACTTAGACGAATTTTAAACCCATTTTCACATCTTTTCAAAATAAAACTCCCTAGGGCGATTTTTCAAGAACAACCCTTCTTCCAAATCGATTGTAAGTTAATTTTAACTCATTTCCTTCAATCATTAACATCTTTTAACATGATTTCAATTCAAAATCAATGATTTTCATGGGAGAAATTGGGTGTTTTGGGTAGAACCTAGTTTTTTTAAAAAATGGGGATTTGGACCTCGATTTGAGGTCCGATTTCAAAACAAATCATGTATTTGGGTTCGTGGGGGAATGAGTAATCGGGTTTTGGTTCGAACCTTGGGTTTTGACCATGTGGGCCCGAGGGCGATTTTTGACTTTTTGAGCAAAACTCTGGAAAACTCATTTTCATGCATTCGAATTGACTCATTAGCATTTATTGATGTAGTTAAGTAACTTGTGACTAGATATGAGCGAATTGGTGGTGGAATCAAGGGGTAAAGCTATAATTGAAACTTGAATTGTGTTCGTGGCATCGAGGTAAGTGTTTGGTCTAACCTTAGCTTGAGGGATTAGGAGTCGAGTCCTACTTGCTATGTGGTATTTGTTGAGTACGACGTATAGACATGGTGACGAGTATCTATACGTTGGTGTCAAGCATGCCCGTGAGTCTTATATTGTGGTTATTATGACTTCTTGTATTTTTCATGCCTTGATTGATGAATCCTACTGTTGGGCAAAGTTTGTGGAAGTAATTTGTGACACTTAAACTTTAAGGAGCGTTGGCTTGAGTTATATAATGAGAAGTGAAAGTATAAGTGAAAATTGAACCTTTAGAGCATTGGCTCGAGTTGTGAAGTAAAGGTGAGAAAGAGAAGAGATCATTATGTTGTCACCCTTGTCGGGCCATTGTTGATTTATTTGTTATCTCCTTTGCCGGGATATAGATGTTATTGATGTTGTTCCCTTGCTGGGACTTAATTGTTAAATTGTTGTTCCCTTACCGGGATTCTTATTGTAATTCATTTATTCCCTTGCCCTATTGTTGTGATTGTTGTTTGGATGAGGAAGAGAGTTAAAGCATGAAGGGTGCTGTCGTGCATTGTTTTGTGAGGAAAGAGTGTAAAGCACGAAGGGTGATGTCTATGATTGTGAGGAAAGAGTGTAAAGCACGAAGGGTGATGCCGTGCCGCACGATGTACTATTCCGTGCCGATTATATTGATTATATGGTGAGAAAAGAGAGTAAAAACACGAAGGGTGATGTCGTGCACATTTTTTTATTATATGATTGCTTTGGTGAGGACGAGAGTAAAAGCACGAAGGGTGATGCCGTGCATTTATTGATTTTTGATTCTTTGTTGATATCCGTGTTATATTGTTCTTTCGTTTACTTGTTGTCTTTCTATTTGGAATCGATATCTCCCCCGCTGCATGCTCCCTCTCCCAGACTTGATTGTTTATTTATGTACTTTTTTTCCGCTGTATATAAAATTGAATTGCACAGGTTTATTTGGTAGTCTGGTCCTAGCCTCGTCACTACTTCGCCGAGGTTAGGCTAGACACTTACCAGCACATGAGGTCGGTTGTGCTGATACTACACTCTGCACTATGTGCAGATCCCGGAGCAGCTCTTGGACCATAGTTTGGAAGCTACCTTCAGTCCACGCGGAGATCCAAGATAGACCTGCAGGCGTCCGCAGGCCCTGGCGTCTCCTCTATCTTTTATTTCCTGTTTCATTTTTTGCTTCAGAAACAATATATCGCTCATTTTATTCAGACTTTGTATGTAGTAAATCTTAGACCGTCTGCGGTACTGTGACACCAGGTTTTGGGTGATTAAGGCTTAAGTAGTTGTAATAGATACAGATTCCAGATATCTTATTGTTTTCTTCCGCTTAATTTTAAATTTTCGCTGTTTATACGTTATCGCTTCATGTTTGTTAAAAAAGAAAAAAAGAAATAACCGGACAATGAAGAAATTAGTTTAAAGGATTGACTTGCCTAGCTCACATTAGTAGGCGCCATCACAACTCCCGAGAATGAAGAAATCCGGGTCGCGACAATTATTTTCAAAAAAAATTTGAAAAGATAAAATCAAAATTTATGGCCAAACGGGAGCTTAGATTGATCTGATTGTTGGGATACGTACAAACTCCCTGAACTCCACAAAAATAAAATAAAAATACTTCTTTCAATTGCATAAAACACATCTATCTCTCAACTTATCATTGTTTCTTAAATTTTACCTTTATGCTCGTTTCCCAAAAATCCCAAAGTATTATTTTTATAATCACCGGATGCCTGATGCTCCGACCCCGCAAGAATTTTGACAAAGCAAAGAGAATGAGACTTCCTACGGTAAATTCAAAATTTAAAATTAGTAAATTCAGAATAAGTGAGTTTATTTTATGTTTATATATTTTATAACTGTCTGTTTATATATTGTTTTTCATATATCATAGCCGCTTGGAAGCAGGTCAGGGTCGTCATGCCTGCTTCCCAAGGGCTATTTTAGTCTTTTCGTTAATTTTGCTAACAGTTAACACGTGTAGAGTAATTTTGACGGGTGGTGCGATATAAGACCTCCCTCTGCCAGCGCTTAATCCCTCCTTCTATTCATCCTCTATATTTATCTGCTTCAGCGATCGATTTCTTTCTATTTTATAGTGATTAAAAACGTGGTTCAAATAAGAAAATTGATAGATTAACAAATTCTGTGACTGGCTTGGTTTCCACAGCTGAATTGGTTAGTTTGCACTTCCTACTGTTCTTTGTCTTTGTTTTATATTTTATTGCACCGGTTATTTATTCAAAAAAAGGTTTAAAATTGCTGCAATTTATGGGTGTTGCTGTGTATTTTTTATTTTATTTTATGCTTTACCTAATTTGTTACTTGGCAATTCTATATGCTTAACCTAATTTTGAGCTGTAAAATTGGAGCTTAAACCTAATTTCTTTGGCTTGTTCCCATTGCTAAGCTTGAAATTCAACTAATCTTCTACTTAGAGAACGTACTCACCCAGAGCTTATTTCTAATTTGAGATGCGTATACACGTGATGGGAGCATGACAGAGTAGACTTCATAACATTGGAGTGAGCCTCTTCAGTTCTGTGGTTAAGAGTGGTAATTCCAATTGAAAAAGTCCTAAATTTGTTTTTCTCAATCCTACTCGCATTCTTTGATAATAGATTGGTTGATTTTAGCTGTTTCGAGATTGATGTTATCAGTTTAATGTTCGGTACTTATAGTTGCAGCCTTGCAGGTTAAGGTTATGTGAAGGTTTTAAATATTAGTTTCGAGTCATAAAAAATGAAGGCCAATACATTCAATTCTTGACAAAGAAATTGTTATTTCATCTTTCCCCAAATTTGCAATAGGTACATGCTTTTATGCTCTTCTAGATTCTGCATTTAGTTCGTTTTGGCTGTTTTAAGGTACTAAATGATTTTTCTTTATTTAGGTGCTGCATTTAATCTGGTTTATCGTTTATTCATGTATACTGTATCATTTTGTTAGCTCACTTGCTAGAGAGTTGTTTTAGTTAGATAGGTTCTCTTTCATGTCTGGTTACATTGTGAGTTCTTTCTACTGTTGTTTCTGTTGCATTCAGTCTTGTTTCAAGTTTCTCACATTATCCATTGGTCTTCCTCTGATTTTCTTATATATCTCTATTTTCGTCCTCGTAGTTAAACTAGCCCATTGTCACTGCCAGTTAGGACTCCATGTGTTTAGGGTAGCCTTGCTATTGAATCAGTATAGCACACATTTCTATATTTTACTTTAGATCATCTTCTGTTCATCTTAAGGTTTAAATGTTTAAAACGATACTTAAACAGCTCTTTGTGGTTCTCTAATAATTACTCATGGAGGATTCTTCTAGCTTCAGGATATAAAATTCTTAAGCTAACTCTTATATTAGGTATTTTTCATACTATTCATCCTTGACTATTAATAGTTACTACTTTTCATGGTTATACAATTGTTGAATTACTTATTTCATTGGGAACATGCAGAACCATAAAAATTCCAGTTAACATTTTGCATGTGCAGAATTTAAGGTGACCACTTTGGGGAAAAAAACCATTATCTGCTCTTGAAGTTCTTTTCTCCACATTTATTACCTATTTAAGAATAGGTCAATGTCGTTTGGAAGGAAAATCACACCTTCATTGGCATTTTTAAGAGCCGAAAGAGCCGAAATTCAAGGATTTGCGACACTCTATTCTTTTGTGCTTAGGACATACGATTCCCTCTAGGTATTCTGTTTATGTTGTTACTATATTATCTTAATTATTATTAGGGTAAACAACACAATTTCACAATATTTTCTTCTTAGTTTTCCCCCTGGTGAAGTAAGGCTTGAATAGAGTTCTTTTGTTAAAGCCTAAAGAAATATCTCAGATAAAGAACTTGCTCAATGTAAACTGGTAGGATTACATGAAATCTTGATAGAGTGACACTTCATATATTAACTAACTTTTCATAAGGTGCCGAGAGATTTATCTAAGGTGAATTGCTACAAAGATCTTTAAATCATAGGTTTAAGTAACTCTTCGTGATGCGTTGCAAAAGGATCCTCCTGGTCTATTCTTGTTCTTTATTTACCCCATATTCTACTCCACAATCAGTGGGTGCATGAGTGTTCTGCACGACATATAAATTACCAAGTGGATCACATCTTCTCCTGATTTCTTGCACATGAAGCTCCATGTATGGTTGACAGGTTTTATTTTTCCTTTTATTTAAAATTTGTCGTTACTAATTCTAAATAAGGGTCTTACTTTGTACTCTAATTTGCCTTCTAGCAATTTGCAATGTTTTGTTTTGCTAATTGTACCCGCTGACACGTGGTCTTAGTATCTAAATATACTGTCTAACTTTGTATCTACTTGTAGGTCTCGATTATCCATTTTGTTATTAAATTAATAAAAATGGAGTATAATAAATTTACTGGGCTCTACGTTGACTTCCTTTTGCGCTTTCTTCATGTTGTTGTAATGTATATATTGACTTTGTACCTTGTTTGTTGTATGTCACTTTATTTTTGAATTATGCAGCTTCGTTAAAGTAAAGCTTTAGCCAAGCCATGAATAGATCAATAAGTTTCTGTGAAAAATTGATTACGTTCACCATTTTTTTACTATTGCAAAGAGTTTTCTTTCCTTTTTGTTCCAATATTTTTCATCTCCTGACTTTTGAATGCGTACAAGGAAAACTCAAGTTTCCAGGCTTCAATTACAATAGAAGTTCTGCCTAGAATAAGTTAAAGCTATTACTTTTGCTACTTGATTTCTTATATGTCACATTCTTTGTTATGGAACTTTATGAACATAAAGCCTTGACATAATTGTTAATAGGTCAATGATTTTGTGGTTTGTTCAATCTATCTGTTATCTTTTTTCTCGATTCATTTATGGTGTAAACTGTCATATTTTTAGTGATGTATAAATATTGTAGTGATAGAACTATTTGGACATTTATAGTGTGTCTATACTTCCAATTGAACTTTAAATCTTTGTTAAACTTTTATAGATTGCTCGAACTGCAGATGTCGACCGATAAAAAACCTTTGGCATCATCTTGCTGCCCGCAAAAAAGGAAGCAATACTGGGTAGAAACAGTAAAACCTTTGGCATCATCTTGCTGCCCGCAAAAAAGGAAGCAATACTGGGTAGAAACAGTTTCTAAAATTAACGATGGGAGACGTGATCTGTACAAACAGTTGCCAGTTGATAAAAGAGAGTTGCTTTTAGCGCAATGACGATCAAAAAAGCTTGAACTAAAAAAGGGTCAAAGCGTGCTGCTTGAATATGCCAAACAAGCTGCTGGGTTTGAATTACCTACACCAAAAACTCTAACAATTGTTGAGCCACCATGTCTTATCCCGACAAGTTAGAAGCAAAAAATGATTTAATCAGAAAAAGACCCAAAGCAAAAAATGATTTAATCAGAAAAAGACCCATTTACACACTGTTTGTAGACATAAATATATGCATGTATATATGTGTTCTGTTTCGTGATTATACTTAAATCCAATTTTCTCTTGCTAAATATATTTGGATTCGGATGTTAGCCGGTATATCTTCCATTGCCGGCCCAGTAGCTGGTTGTGACAGAGGAAAAAATATTACCGATCACTTCTCCGTTTTTGAACATGGTAAGTGAATGAAAATATGTTGTTTCAGTTTGATTGTACTCTCTTTTAGTATATTAATAAGAATTGTTTGTATATTAGGCTCGGCCTCTGGTGCATCCTATGACCAACACCATACTGAGACATCTGTCGTCACAAATAAAGGTTTGTCTCGCTTTAATCTTATCACAACATTTATTACTGCTCTCTTCTCAACACTAATAGGATATATTATTACAACTAATATACACAGGTTATAAATAAAAAATAATAGGTTTGAACTGGAACATTAGAGAACTACCCAGTGATGCAACCATTTTAAAAAATGTACCGAACTGTAAATATTGTGGAGCAAAAAGGTTCGAATATGAAACACCAGCATTTTGTTGTAGCAATGGTTCAGTTAAATTGATGTTACATGAAATGCCTAATTAACTCTTGAATCTATATTTAGGCAATACCAAAGAATTTGAACACTTCTGTACCTACCTTAGACTATACAACAATATGCTTGCATTTACTTCACTTGGAGTGAACTACGACAAAGCACTAGAAAAAAGAAACCAAGGAATTTATACATTTAAAGTAAAGGTCAAATGTATCACTTCATAAATGATTTGATTCCAACAAATCGTCAACCAAGAAATTTACAGTTGTATTTTTATGATGAGAACACAGAAATATTGAATCGAATGGCTTCCTCTGATATACTTCGACAGTCGGTTGTTGAGAAGCTAATGGATATACTGAAGATAAATTCATATTTTATCTTCTTAAAATCTCTGATACATATCCTAGAATTATCAAATTTTTATATTGCATTGAGATGCGGCTCTGGCTTAGATCAACGAATATATAACTTGCCAACTGTGTCAGAGTAGCAGCATTATGGTTAGAACAAGAAACGAACAATAATAGCTCCGCACCCCATATCTGCATTTATACTCACAGTAACAAAAGCCAGTTAGTAAATTACTATTATGGCTGCTATGATCTTTTGCAATATCCACTTTTATTTCCTTATGGTCAAAATGGATGGCATTGCGGTGTTCCAAAAATCGTACAACCTAACAATAAATTGAGAAAGCGAGCTTACTATGAGACTGAACAGCTTCCGAGCATTTCTAACATGTCTTCAATTGATGGACTACTTGATATGGAAGCTGATGTTTTGGAAAAGGGGAAACGGAAAAGGAATAATGTTTCTTGTCATGAATACTACTGTTACAAACTCCAAATGAGAGACAATGAAGAAAATGGCGTTTTACATTCTGGCAGATTGTTTCAACAATACTCAGTTGATGAATTCATAAAAATAGAAACTTAGAGGTTAGATTTTGCCTCATTTAACCAAGATTTATTTCGGATTGATGTACTACAAGGACTTTTAAATATCCTAAGTCTTGGCGAAAGAGAAGCTTCTAAGATAGGAAAACAAAACTTTCTTCCGACAAGGTTTACGGGTGGTTCGAGAGATATGCGCCAGCGTTACATGGATGCTATTGCGTTAGTGCAACATTTTGGAAAACCTGATATATTTCTGACCATGACATGTAATCCCTCTTGGCCCGAAATTAAGCAACATTTGCTCCCAACAGATGAAACTCAAAATAGGCCTGATTTAATTAGCCGAGTGTTCAAAGCAAAGGTAGAAGAGATGAAGACAGATATATTAAAAAGAAACATATTTGGAAAAGTTGCATCTTATATGTGCACTATAGAATTTCAAAAACACGGTCTTCCACATGCTCATTTTCTTATTATACTTACTGATGATTACAAATAATTAACGCCCGAGGCTTATGACAAATTTGTCTGTGATGAGCTGCCCGATCCTGATAAAAACTCGTACTTACATAAGCTTGTTATTAAACACGTGATGAATGGGCCTTGTGGTCATTTAAATCCTACTAATTCATGTATGAAAAGAAATGAGTGCAAATTTAAGTACCCCAAGAGCTTCGTTGATGAGACAACAAAAGGAAAGAACTCATTCTGATTTATAGAAGACGAAACACTGGTTAATTATTAAAAGTTAGAAAATAATTTCTTGATATCTCATGGGTTGTTCCTTATAATCCTTATATGTTGTGCAAGTATAATTGTCATATAAACATGAAGGTTTGCTCCGATATTAAAGTGGTGAAATATATATACAAATATATTTGTAAAGGGCATGATAAGATTTCATTTGGCTTACACGAAGATAACACAAATATACAAATAGATGAGATAAAAGAGTATCAATCTGCTAGATGGGTGTCACCTCCAGAAGCTATGTGGCGTTTATTTGCATTTGCTATCAATGAAATGACTCCAAGTGTTTATCACCTCCAGCTACATCTTGATGGACTACATTTTGTCTCTTTTAAAAAAATTGACACAATAGACAGTATCCTGAAAAACCCTATGATTAAGAAAATAATGCTGACAGAATTTTTTTTGATGAATGAAACAAACAAAAATGCTAAAGAACTTAAGTTGCTGTATAAAGATTTTCCACAATACTTCGTATGGTCATCTACCTACAAAATGTGGACTCAACGACAACGAGGTCATGTTATCGGCCGTGTTGTAACATGTCATCCAACAGAAGGAGAAAGATATTACCTTAGATTATTACTAATGAATGTGAGAGCACCAAAATCATATGAAGATCTTCTGAGAGTAAACGAGATATGTTGCGACACATTTAGAGAGTCCGCGGAAAAAAGAGGATTGTTGCACTGTGACAACAGCTTGGTTGAATGTATGTCAGAGGCTGTATGTTATCAAGTGTCTTATAGTTTAAGACGTTTATTTGCTACAATATTAGTACATTACAGCCCCGACAATCCAAGGGAACCGTGGGAACAATTTGAAGATTCAATGTCCGAAGACTTTAAGAACCTAACCAATGTAACGACAAAAGATATCCACCTTGGTGTCGTAAATCACATCAATGATATACTACATTCTATGGGAAATGATATTAATTAGTTCAACCTTGTTTCCGAAACTATCATATCTTCGAAAATGGCAAATGAAACGAAGGAAGTATATTTTGAAAGAAGCATCATTGTGAGTAACGAAGATTTACTGATGCATAGAAAATTAAATAAAGAACAGAAAATGGCATACGACGTTATCCTTCAGAGAGTATTTGCCAACAAATCAGGAGCATTTTTTATTGATGGTCCTGGAGGAAGTGGTAAGATATTCTTATATTGTGCCTTATTAGCAACTGTGAGATCTAAAGGATTTGTAGCATTAGCAACAGCAACCTCCGGTGTTGCAGCTTCGATCCTTCCGGGAAGACGAACAGTTCATTTACGTTTTAAATTCCCGATTAATATAGATGAAAAGTTCTCTTGCAATATCAGTAAGCAAAGTTCACTAGCGTCTTTGATTCGCGATGCAAAATTAATTGTGTGGGATGAAGTATCAATGGCGAAAAAAAACATGATTGAAGCTTAGACTCTCTTTTGAAAGATATAATGGATATAAATGTGCTTTTTGGTGGAAAAGTAGTTGTGTTTGGTGGAGATTTTAGACAAACTCTTCCTGGGGTTCGAAGTGAAAAAAAAGAAGACTTCATTCGAGAAAGCATATTGAACTCCGAAATATGGAATGAGCTTGAAAAACTACGATTATCAGAGAATATGCGTGCGAAAACTGATCCATCTTTCTGTGAATATTTGATGCGAATTGGAAATGAAAAAGAAAAGACAAACATGGATGGTAAAATAGAAATTCCGAGGTTTTTCATTGTTCCCTATATTATTGAAAAAGAATCACCGGATCTTTTATTCAACATAATATATCCTGATTTGCATACGCGTCTTCACGATTCTTCCTTTTTATCTTCTCATGTTATTTTGACATCAAAAAATGACTTTGTTGATGAAATAAATAATAGACTTATAGCTCAATTTCCTAATGACTCCAAGACATTTGTTGCAATGGATGAAACTGTTGAATCCAATGATCAGAGCCAGTTTGAGGATTTTCTACATTCATTAAACTCCGCCGGTTTGCCTCCGTACAAATTAATCTTGAAGAAAAATTGTCCATTTATGTTGCTGCGAAACTTAAATCCTTGTGAAGGTTTATGCAATGGTACACGACTAATATGCTGTAATTTTAAGAGCCATGTTATAAGTGCTAAAATTGCAAGCGGTGATTTTAAAGATACACATGTATTTATTCCCAGAATACCGTTGTTATCTTCAGATGATGAGAAGTTACCTATCGCATTTAAAAGTACACAATTTCCAATGCGCCTGTGTTTTGCAATGACAATAAATAAAGCGCAAGGACAAACGTTAGATTATGTTGGTATTTATTTATGCGAGCCTGTGTTTTCTCATGGTCAGCTATATGTTGCTATATCGAGAGCAAAAAGTTCAAATCGTATAAAAATATTAATCCGACCACCTACCGTAGATAACGATGATGACCAATCTACATATAACATAGTATATGATGAAATCATTCAAAAAGCCCTTCTATAACTTCACAGCTTTGTTGTTCATATCCTTGTGTGACCATACATGCACTAAATAAGAGTTGGCTTATGTATTTGCAAATCCTTGCTAAATTTTTACTTTTCTCATATAGTTTTATGATGAGCAATATACAAATCAAAATGTTTACATTGTGAAACTTCCCGAGCAACAATCAGTGGAAAATATTCGTCTTTCCAAATCTATATGTACAAAAGCTTATTACATATTTATTTGATTTTTGTTCAACTCTGTGAAGCTGACTTGGCTGATTTTTACATAACGAAAAAAATTCATGTTTTTAACTCCTGTGTTCAAATAATAATGTGACACAGCCGGTCTCAAGCCCGGACAAAGGAGGAGGATCTATTGTCTATTGGTATAACAGTTGTATTTTTGTTTTTCCAGTCGCACATACTCACAGTGAATTGGTAATGTTACTATGTATTTAAATTTACTCATTTATTATTAAAATATATATGCTGCTCTATCAAAATTTTTTCCTCTTATAAAATTTTATATGCCACAATTCAATATGTTGGCAAAAGAGAATCTATTGTTCATCTAAAAAACGAAATGTGAATTAAGTTAAAAACTTATTCATCTTATATTTTGATGCTTGAATATTCCTTTACTGTTGTATATTCCTTTACTGCTTAGTAACACGCGTAATCTGTATTGCAGGTATGTCAAAGAGATCCTACAAAGTAAAATGCTTCCACATCTTGGTACTAAAAGGTATTGTGACCCTAACCAAGTTGTAATATAGTAATTTCATTTCTACCTTAAACATTGTTTCATTTCTTTATTTTGTATAGATATCTTGGCATATTTCAATGATGTCATCAGTGTTACTACCGGAAAATGGTTGGACAATTTGTTAGATATAATATTCGTTATCTTCTTTTTGCATTGCTACGATGGATACAATTTCTAGAAAAAACCATAGGTTTTTAATACTTTACACAGTGATTATGTTTCATAACTTTGTATTTGTTGTTTATTTTTCTTAATAATGAAGGGAATAGGTCCGTCTCATATTTAAGATTATCTTATAGTTATATATGATATAGAAATTCCATAATAAGAAAAAAAATTGTTGCTCTGCAACTTTTGTGGGTAGTGAGTTTACTTTTTAAAATCAGATATTAAATTGCTGTTGGGACAACTGAAGGGCTGCGATATCTTCATGAGGGAGATCAAAGAATAATTATCCACAGAGATATTAAGGCTGCAAATATATTGCTTACTAAGGACTTTGAATCTCAGGTATTATTATGATTGTCATAGTTGTTATTGGTATAAAGTAAACTCTACTTACTGGAAATAGTATTTTAAGTTTCTCACTTACTGACCTTAGTATCATATGAATCCTAATGAATCTTGTGTAAAGGGTCTCGGCTGCTTGAGCCTTGAATATTTCCTTTTTCTCTTTCAGATTTGTGATTTTGGCCTTGCCAAATGGTTGCCCGAGTAATGGACTCACCACACTGTACCAAAATTTGAAGGCACATTTGAGTTAGTATACTGTTGAGAGGAGATTCATATGGGGTGGACTGCCTCAAACTTGGTAAGTTTCAACGTTGTTTTAAGTCATAATGGAGTAAACAGAGACAAATCCAATATTTTAATAACAAGTGCAATCACACTTACTATTTTTAGCTTGAGTAATATGTACATACACCAAAAAAAAACTTAAAATGTATGAACACTTAATCAGATCTATTTGGTAGCTCGTATTTAGCTGGCTGATCCATATCTAAAAGAAAATTCATGTTTTTAAGTTATAGTTTAACACAACCGATCCGAAGCCCGGACAAAGGAAAAGGGTTTACTGTCTATTAGCAGTAACAATTGTGTTTTTATTTTCTGATTCAAATGTATTCACTGTCAATTGGTTATGTTAGCAATATTTTTTCAGCTCAGTTTGCTACGCTTTTTGGCATTTAGTAAGAAAAAACTTTTGAATCTTTTACAATTGTACAGATTTTTATTGTTTCTTGTGTAAAGGAATCACAACATTTCAAAAGAGAGCAATTAGAGCATGGAATACGAACAAAGAGGGCTCGGGCGAGACAGCAGAGACCACTACTGTAAATTAATGCGAATGAAGACAACTGATCAGGTGAATTAATTTCTGTACCAGTAACTCTCTTGGTTTTGATTATTAGGAGTGGAAGTTACAGATTCCATGTATTTGTAGTACCTTTGCTTGCGCATGAATTTGAAACTTTGTTCTATATCACTCAATAGTTCTTTGCCTAAGCATAATCAGCAACTCAAACAGTAAGAAGAGGCAAATAAGCTCATCCACATTCCAAATATTGCTCTTTCAATAGGTGATAAGCCAACACAGCCATTGTCACAGGAAAAAGCTTGTCAAGTACCACTCTAAAATAAATGATTTAGAAAGCTGACTGAAGTACAATAAATTTTAGTTATCTTTGACTAATAGTGCCATTACTTTCATAGATAATTTGCCTGACTGAAATAGCAAGAAGTAAGTGAGCAATGTAGCCAATTGTGTATATTAATAGCAAGCTGCTCCGACTAATTGGATCCTGTTTTATAAGATTATTAAGAAGCAAATTATTGACTTTGTCCTCTTTCACTATTTGATTTAGAATTGAAATTAGGAATCTATTCCATCTCATTCGGTTTTTTCTTTGTCGCTCCTAGGTTTTGAAGCATCACCTTAATCTGTCCTAAAAATGAAAATTCCTGGAATTACTTGTCTCTGCAATACCGTAAAGCTCGTTATGTTGAAGACAAACGACAACATTGCTTTGTGAGTAGGGGTGGGCATAAAATCCAAAAAATAGAATTCTGAACCGAACCGGACCGAATTAATTCGGTATTTCGGTTTCGGTTTTTTTCGGTATTTCGGTACGGTCCTCGGTATTAAAATTCTGAAATTTCGGTATACCGAAATACCGATTTATATATAAGAAAAATTTCTGCAGTGAAGATGAGGCGCTTATGGCTTTTAACCGTGAAATGGATGCTAATTCAATCCAAAAGGAAAGAATATCTGCTTTATTGCCATCTGAATCACTAGAGTCGATGTGTACGGAGACCATGCTTCTAGCTGGAAAGAAGATGAATGAATGGATGGCTGAGTTGGATGCCATTGCAAGGGAAGTTGAAGCAGAGTTAGCTCTAAGAGAAATAGGATGCAATTTGGCTGAACTTTTTGGATGCAGTTTCTTTTCAAGTCAAGGGATTTCAAGAGGTCATCTATTTTAGTGAATTCAACGTGTTCATACCTGCATTCAGTACTTAGTTGTGGACAGTGTAGTGGTATATCTTCTTTTCCTAATCCAATATTATCATCAGTTTTGGTATTTCTGCAAGTCTGAAACTTCATACTTTTATTAATTAATGTTTATGTCACAATTTGAAGTAGTGCTTACCTTATGTGCAACAATTTTGCTTCAACAGCTTAATTTCAGTAGTTGACAGACGCGTATGAAAAAGCAGCTTAATATTGAAGCAGAAAATTTCTGATATTCATATTGAATTCTGTTGTGTTTGGATAAATGTTAGTTATGCTTTTTGATATCTCACTATTAATCACATGTAAGCAAGTTAACAGAATCTTGCTCTGCATATGTAAGCAAGTTAACAAGGCTTGAATGTATTACATCAGTGATATGTTTTCATATGTAAATGAGCTTCCTAGTATATATAGGAATTTCAGTAGCTTCCACTGGGTTCCAAATGCTTCAGCGTTCCAGTATACATTCTGCCAGAAATTTCATATTGAAGCAGAAGCAGTATCGAAATTTAATATTTCTGACTTTCAGTAGTTGACACGCCTATATTTTAAATTTTACTCATTAATGTATCAAACCGAAACCGTACCGAACCAAAATAAGAAATACCGAACCGTACCGAACTATTTTGGTATGGTATTTGGTATACACAATTGACAAACCGAATACCGAATTACCGAACCAAAGTATTCAAATACCGAACCGAAATACCGAACGCCCACCCCTATTTGTGAGCCTGAGATTTTTGTTCTTCTACATAGAGTCTGTTGGAATGAGTAATGATACCAACAGTTCTGTTACTTTTCCACCGTCGATAGTTTAAAGGCATTTCTCTTATTGATTTGGAATTTGACCCTATTGTCACAACCCTAAATCCGGACCCGGTTGTGATGGCGCCTCTCGTGAAGACAAGGCCAGCCGACACACTCTCACTTCATTTTAAGCAATTAAAATAATATGAATTAAGTCTTTAATATAATAAAAATCCCAAAATAAGGTGGATACTTCATTTGCGGAATAGACATAGCCCGATATCGGGGTGTCACCAGTCATGAGCATCTATCATAAAACTACAAGTCTGAGAGAGTCTACACAACTATTACATAACTAAAAAGGAGAAAATAAGATAGAAGGAGAAGCACTAGGTTGCGAACGCCTAGCAGTTACCTAGTGAATCCCCGAAGTCTGCTGGAAGCTCTCAACCCTCGCAAGCAGGACCTGAAGCGCCTGAATCTGCACACGGGGTGCAAGGAGTAAAGTGAGTACTCCAACTCAGTGAGTAATAATAATAAATGCAAACTGAGCAATAAGAAATCACGTAAAGGAACATCACAGGCTATAAAGAAGCAGTAAAAACCAGTAAAAATAATGAAACAGGGAAAATATGTAAAGTCACTCTAGTTCAGTTTAAACTTCTTTGAAATGCCTTTTTAACAGTTAAGCGAGTAAATGACAGGCAACTAGGAAAGATAAACACATAAAGAACCGCCGCTCGGGCACAATGTCAACAAAATTCGCCCCTCGGGCAATATCATGGAACAACACCAGCCCCTCGGACTATATCTCACATCACAATGGGTACTCGCGCTTACTAGAGGTGTGCAGACTCCTGGAGGGGCCCCTTACGGCCCAAACGCAATATGAAACCATCTTATGGCATAATTACATAGGCTCTCGGCCTCATATCAACAAGCCACCTTGTGGCGCACAATCTCAGGCCCTCGGCCACATAATCATAATCAGTGTATCACTGTTGCGGCGTGCAACCCGACCCAAAAGTATCCTCACAACACAGGCCCTCGGCCTTACTCAGTCAGAATCTCATAAGCCACTCGGGCAACAGTAAAACATGATACTCAGCCCAAAATATCATTTAATGTGTTAAAACAGGGTAAACATGGCTGAGTTATAAAAAACAGTAGAATATAGCATGACTGAGTTCAAGTATAAAGTCAAAACAGTGAGGAAATATCAGGAAAAATCTCCTAAGGGTTCAAATAGTTGGCACGAGGCCCAAATATGACACTCAGCCCAAAACATGATGATAGCAAACAGTTTTAAGTCAAATACGCGGTAAAACAATCATTCGGGATGGACTAAGTCACAATTCCCAACAGTGCACGACCCCATGCCCGTCTTCTAGCGTGTGTGTCACCTCAATATAGCACAACGATATGCAATCCGAGGTTTCATACCCTCAGGACCACATTTACAATCATTACTCACCTCAATCCGAGCAAAATCCTACTCCGAAATGCCTTTGCCCCTTGAATCGGCCTCCAATCGACCCAAATCTAGCCACAGTTAATTCAATTTAGTCAATACTAATTATAGGAATTAATTCCATATGAAAATACTAATTTTCCAACAAAATCTGAAATTTAACTCAAAATCGCCCATGGGGCCCACGTCTCGAAATCCGACGAAACTCACAAAATCCGACAACCCATTCAACCACGAGTCTAACCATACCAAAATTACTAAATTTCGATAACATTTCGACCCTCAAATCCTCAAATCTATCCTACAGGGTTTTCAAACTTTTCCAACTTAAAATCACCAATTAAATGTTAAAAACAACGATGAATTCGAGTAATCTATCAAAAATTGTGTTAAGAACACTTACCCTGTTGTTTTCTCTGAAAATCCCTCGAAAAATCGCCCCACCCGAGCTTCCTTGGTCCAAAAATGGAAGAATGGAACGAATTTGGACTTTATTCTGCTGCCCAGGGGTTTGTTCTTCGCGTTCGCAATGAGCAAATTCCTCATCAGCGATTTCCAAACTCATTCCAGACAGTCTTTAGTATAATTGTCATAACTCTTTGCACACAACTCCAAATAACAAATGGTTTGATGTTCTGAAAACTAGACACCAAGGGCTATAATTTCATAGGTTGTTCATTTCCTGAGTCATTATATATTGCGAGATATAAGCTTCCAAAGTCAGCCCTGTGCAGCAGAGATTTTCAAACTCTCCCCGGATAACCTATAGTGTAACTACCATAACTTTTTGTACACAAATCGAAATGCCAATTAATTTATATTTCTGAAAACTAGACACAGAACTACAACTTTCATGTTTGGATCATCTCCAAATTTCTTATAGATTGTGAGATATGAGCCTCCGAAGTCATACATGTGCAACCGAGATTTCCTTCTTCGCAAACGCGAAAGTCTCTTCGCGAACGCGAAGAACAAACCAGAGGCCATATTCCTCTTCGCGGACGCGAGATGCTCCACGCGAACGCGAAGAACAACACCAGATATCAGAAAATCAGCATCAGAAGTAGCCCAAAATGATCCGAAATACACCCGAAACACACTCGAATCCCCCGGGACCCCAACCAAATATACCAACAAGTCCTAAAATATGATACGGACTTTGTCGAAACTTCAAATCACATCAAACAACACTAAAACCGTGAATCACACCCCAATTCAAGCTTAATGAAAATAAGAACTTCCAACTTCTATATTCGATGCTGAAACCTATCAAATCAAGTCCGATTGACATCAAAATTTGCACGCAAGTCATAAATGACATAACGGAGCTAGGAAAATTTTCAGAACTGGATTCCGACCCCGATATCAAAAAGTCAACTCCCCGGTCAAACTTCCAAACTTAAATTTCTCATTTTCACCATTTCAAGCCTAATTTAGCTACGGACCTCGAAATAAATATTCGGACACACTCCTATGCCCGAAATCACCATACGGAGCTATTGGAATCATCAAAAATCTATTTCGGGGTCGTTTACATATTTTTCACCTTCTGGTCAAATTATTCAACTTAAGCTTTCTTCTTGGAGACTAAGTGTCTCAATTCATTTCAAAAACCTCACCAGACCCTAACCAATTACCCTGACAAGTCACATAAAAACTGTAAAGCATGAATTTAGCAGTAAATGGGGGAAACGGGATTGTATTATTCAAAATGACCGGCCAGGTCGTTACATACCTATGTAGGCTAATAAGCAATATTTATCCACTGTTAGGCTCATGCTATTTAATGTATTCTTGCTTTTTTGGTACTACTTTGAACATTTTACGAGCTTGAAACACGTAAAAATTGCACGGATCGCCCTATTTGGTCGCCCCCATTTAACCTATACCCATTTTTTTAAAAACTTTTAACTTGTACCCAATTCTTAAATAACTTCAGCCCCCTTTCTCCTCCTTCTTCTCCTCCTTCGTTTTCTTCTTCTTCTGAAATAAATAGCTGAAATATGCAAACAAGCAAATTGAAAGAATGGAACTCCATCTCATCACAGCTAGATGCCAACAAGGAGTTCTCTCTGATCAGATATTATATTACTCTATAAAACTTCAGTAAAGTTATCTAAACAAAATCAAAGTACAAAATATTATGGAAAAAGATTGGGTAGCCATCACGATCATTATACAATTTCTGTGTAAAACATAGCGCTTATTTTCTGGTTAATATTGTTTAGTCGTTGACGTGAAAACAACGAAACAGAGAAATAATGCACTTGATTTACAAATAGTTAATTGCATTTACAAATAGTTAATTGCATTGTCAATACAACAATTGAAAGAAATGGTTGAATGCTAATAGCTGATGAAGGCTTCATCAATTGGATCAATGGAGAGGAGCAAATCCAACAACTTCATATAAGAGTTAATTTTATCCAAGCTTCAACTCTAGAGCTGAAGTTTCCCAGTCACAACACAGAAACTTCAGCTCTAGACCTGAACTTCAGGCCCGACTACTAGAATGCTGAAGTTTTGCGTGATTGTCTTTGCTACTTCAGCCCCGTGTGCTGAAGTTATGCAAAAAAGCGGGTACGCTTGCAAATTTTTTTGCAAAGCGGACACAAGTTAAAATGTGACACAAAAAGCGAGTATAGATGCAAATGCCCCTTGAAACACTGTCTTTCATGCGGTAGCTAATGTATTCATTTTACCCCGATTCAGAAAATTACTTTAATTTCTTGAGTTTCTAGCGAATTCTCATGTCTAAATTTAGGAGAGGAACCACAGAGCAAAAATATGCTTAATATTTTGTTACAATCAACAAACAACTTTAGACTACAAATTGTTGGGCCCAATATACACCTTGCCATAGGAAACAGATAAACTTTAGAGCAAACTTCATTTGTAGCCATCCGGAAAAAAT